AGATAGATAGATAGATAGATAGATAGATAGATAGATAGATAGATAGATAGATAGATAGATAGATAGATAGATAGATAGATAGATAGATAGATCGATCGATCGATCGATCCTGCAGGTGTTCAGTCTGCTGCGGTAGTCAGGCTGAGCTCTCCTGTGGGCACAGTGCTGTACAAAAGTCTTGGGCCACCCATCATTTAAGCAGCTAGCCCTCCCCCTACTTTTTAAAGTGCTTTTGAGCAATAGATCTACACTCACGTTCAGTCCTCGTAGCTCACAGGTGTGAGTTGTATTTGTAGACTCTTTGTTCCCAGCAGGCACACAGACACATTTCTGTACTTGTGTAACTGCCAGAGATAACACAGTTACACAACCTGCACAGCTCAGCAGTGAGTCCTCAAACACGTGAGGACACTGGACAGAAGAACAAGTGTCCTAAAAACTCTCTGCAGGTGAACAGCACCTGGGCCATGATGTGGAGACATGATGTGGACCTGAGACATGATGTGGACCTCCAGCTCATCAGGAAGCCGTTCTTCATGAAGACACAGGCTGAGCTGTGATGTCTGATGGAGCCACAGTTGAAGGATCATGTTTCTGATTTTCCTCCATGCTCGAGACTTTTGCACAGTCCTGCAGCGTTCCTGGCTCAGACTCAGTAGCGGTTTTTGATACGGGCGACACGGGCGGTTGCCCGGGGCGGCATCATGGTGGGGGGCGGCATCACGGGCATCGGCAAAATAAAAATAAAAATTACTCGTACTCATGCTGCCCCGACATCATGCCAGCGCATATTGGGAATGTCGTAGGCACCGACTGGGTTTGCTGGGAGTAAGGGCGCCCTCCGTTTGCGAAGTGCGCCTGCTGCTTGCTGCACAGGGAGGAAAGGGCGGGCGGCGGGGGATTCTCTGCCTGGCTGGAGCAGCGTCTAATAACCAACTCGCAAAATAAAACAAAATTAATTGTTTTATTTGCTGCTTAAGTCAAAGTAAACGTTATTGTTATCTCCGCTACATGCAGTACAGTAGTGCAAGTAAACAAACAATAAATATAAGAATAGTAAGAAAATAAACATACACTTTAGGACCAGGAGTAAAGGGATCAATAAAAATTTAAAATTTATAATTTACAGTTTGAACCTTAAACTTGTGTGTTAGCCCTGTGACAGACTGGCGACCTGTCCAGGGTGTACCCCGCCTCTCGCCCTACGACAGCTGGGATTGGCTCCAGCGCCCCCGGCGACCCTGAAAAGGAAAAGCGGTAGCGAATGGATGGATGGATGGATGGATGATTTAAAGTCTCACACACAACCCGTCGAAAGGGGAGGGGCCTGCTGCTTCCAAATAGAGCACATTTCATTCATAATGATGTAAATTCAAGCCCATTATGGATTCATGATTTGAACCCTGGGTTGTGCGAAATCCCAGAAATACACCTTAGACAAAGTGAGTCTGTGAACTAAGGTGTAGGTGTGTTAGGTTATGTTGTGGTGATCCTCGGGTTGCGGGATTTGTGTTCATACTGGAGTGCAAAATTAAAACCAATGGAAGATGGACAAGAAAAGTTCAAAGCCATCAGGTGCTCAGCTTAGAAAAAAGAGAAAAGAAGAGGAGGAAAACAGCAAAAGATGCAGGTAAGCAGATGTGTGATTGGATAATGGCAGGTCATCCTGAACCAATCAGAATCAGAATACTTTATTAACCCTTAAAGAAATGATGTGGGTTACAGTTGCTCCAAGAAGAAATGGTAAAAATAGTAACGGTAACAGACTAAACTCCAAACAATACATTATGTTACAGATTTTACACGTTTAAGAAACAGCACTAATATATACAGATCACTCAATTATAAATATCAAGGACTAACAGAGGTGATTATAAATAAATATCAAGAAAATTAGTGAGAATATTCCAGAAAAGAGCGTGTGTTCAGCACAATATTAATTAGTCATTGTCAATTCTTTATTTGTCCTGTTCTCATTAGGGTTAGGCGAATTATGATGGCTGTTTGGTAGCCGTTTGCATAGTATGCATACTCTCTCTCTCTTCATGTATGTGTGTGCTTCTCTGGTGAAATTTAGTATGGGTCCAACAAGTTTTATGTTAATGTACAATCCATAATGTGTGTGTGTGTGTGTGTGTGTGTGTGTGTGTGTGTGTG